CGCTGCCGCCGCTGCCTGCCTCGCCGCCGCCTTCTCCTCCTTCTGCCGCTGCCGCTTCAGCGCCCTGGCCTCTTTGGCCCTGCGTTCTGCCAGCTCGTCGCGCAGCCGCCTCGCCGCCTGGAGCGCCTCCGATCCGTCGGCGGAGTCGGCATTCGCGTTGATCGCCGCCCTGAGCGCCTCGAGATCGGCGTCGCCTCGGTTGCACGCCTCAACCGCCTCGCGCAGCGCCGTCTCGGCAGCGGCGCGAGCCTCAGCCACCTCTGCTGCTACGTTGCGCGCGGCGGCCGCCGCCGACTCAGTTGCCGCCGCCTCGGCAGCAGCCTTTGCCGCACTCGCAACTGTGGCGCTCACCTCGCCTCTCTCGTACGTCGCGTTGACCCGCCCGCCGCCCTTGAGCCACGCCAGCACCGCCGCCTCGTCGCCTCGCTCAGCCGCTGCGAGGACCTCGTCGGAGACTGCGATGACCTCATCGGTGTCTTGGCACAGCTTGTCCGGCCGCACGCGCACGCACTCGCCGCTGCCCTCGATCGCCACCGCGTACCGCCCTAGCCTGAAACTCTGCGCCACGCCTCGCTGGCCGTTCAACTCGGGGCGGGCCGAGAGCCCGCTAAGCACGACTCGCTTCCCGAGCAGCGGCGCGTCCACAGCTGCTGCCGCTGCCGCGCCCGAGGAAGCGCCGCCCGCCCCTGCTCGGCCCTCTGCAGCCGCCGTCGCTGCCGCCGCCTCGCGCCGCGCCGCCTCCGCCTCCTCAGAGAAAGCTTTGACGCACTCGGTGTGGCCCTTCTCCTCGGCAAACTGCAGCGCCGTCTTGCCGCCCGAGGTGCGCGCCGCTGTTTCTGCGCCCGCCCGCAGCAGGCAGCGCACGACGGCGGGGTGGCCGTGGTGGCACGCGACGTGCAGCGGCGTGAAGCCGCGGCCCGCAGCTTGGTCGACCGCCGCGCCCGCTTCGAGGAGCAGCTGGACGATGTCGAGGTGGCCGCTCCAGCACGCCATGTACAGCGGCGTGGCGCCGTTGGCGTTGGCTTGTCCGACCGCCGCGCCAGCAGCGAGAAGCAGCCGGACGATGTCGACCTGGCCCGTGTGGCACGCCATGGACAGCGGCGTGGTGCCGTCGCCCCTGGCTTGTTCGACCGCCGCGCCAGCCCCGAGAAGCAGCCGGGCGCACTCGAGGTGGCCCTGCTGGCACGCGATGAACAGCGGCGTGGTGCCGTCGTCCTTGGCTTGGTCGACCGCCGCGCTGGCGCCGAGGAGCAGCCGGGCGATCTCGAGGTGGCCCTTCTGGCACGCAATGTACAGCGGCGTGGCGCCCACCTGCATGGCCTGGTTGACCGCCGCGCTGGCGCCGAGGAGCAGCCGCACGCACTCGAGGCCGCCCTTCTGGCACGCGATGAACAGCGGCGTGGTGCCGTCGTCCTTGGCTTGGTTGACCGCCGCGCCGGCGCCGAGGAGCAGCCGGGCGCACTCGAGGCCGCCCTTCTGGCACGCGATGAACAGCGGCGTGGCGCCGTCCGCCTTGGCTTGGTTGACCGCCGCGCTGGCGCCGACGAGCAGCCGGGCGCACTCGAGCTGGCCGTTCTGGCACGCAATATACAGCGGCGAGAAGCCGCCGTCCGTGGCTTGGTTGACCGCCGCGCTGGCGCCGAGAAGCAGCTGGACGCACTCGAGGTAGCCCTTCTGGCAAGCGATGTACAGCGGCGTGAAGCCGCCGTCCTTGGCTTGGTTGACCGCCGCGCTGGCGCCGAGGAGCAGCTGGACGCACTCGAGGTGGCCCTCTTGGCACGCGATGACCAGCGCGGTGGAGCCACGGCCCGTCGTCGCCCCCACGCTCGCGCCGCTCTCGAGCAGCAGCCGCACCGCGTCGGCCTGCCCATGCTGAGCGGCAAAGGCAAGCAGCGTGAAGTTGTTCGCTTCGATCCGCTGCGCGTCGAGCTCGGCCGTGAGCGCCGGGCCGCGCGTCCGCCCGGCGAGGAGGGCGCGCAGCGAGCCCAGGTCGCCCCGGCGCAGCTCGGAGGGCAAGGCGGGGCCCCGCCATGTGCTGATGGCACTCATGGGGGGCGGCAGCGAAGAGAAGAAATACTATCTACGGGCCCGTTTGCGGAGGCGGGCCCGGCGAGGAGAAACCGGGCCGCCAAAAGCACGCTCGGCGGCCCGGGAGCGGCCACTTTTGACCCGGCCGGGGCCCGCCGGTGCCCCTTTTGAACCGGCCCCCCGGGCCCGCCCCTACGTCCGGGGCCCCAGTTATATCCGGCGGCTTCCTAGTTGGAACTCGCGCCACACTTCGTCGCCGCCGGCAGCGCGGAAGCCACTCGCCCGTCGCGTCGCGCGAAGCATACGGGTCGCGGTCGACATCTACAGTTGTGTCCTCTCACGGCGTGAACAAGAGCCGACGACCCTTTTTCTGCACTGCTTTTTGGTCCTCCGATGATGTCGCGTGCTCTCCGCTACGCTCTGCTGCTGCTGGTGAAAAACGCCGCCGCTCAGCAGGAGTGCGGGGGCTTCGTTCTACTCGGCTTCGACCTCCACGACTTCAGCCGATACGGCGAATACTTCAGAAACGACTCCAAGATGACGCTCCTGCAAGCTGGGAGCTACTACGGCGCTGACGGGATCGAAGAGTACATGCGCTTCGCATTTGCTTCGCCCTTCCTCGACGAGGACTCGATCGACCAGAAATACGGGCCCAAGGCTTACGACGGAGTCACCTGCACCTTCTATCGCGCCGCGACAGCGCGACTCACCTTCAAGGCGCCAGCCGTGGCTGGCGCCTCGCTCGACGTCGGGTCATATTCCAACATCGTTGCTTGTGCTCCTCCTTCGCTGTCCCATCTCCTCATCTCTTTCCCGCCTGGGCGGGGCAGCGGGTGGGCGCGCGGTGCGGCGTGGCGTGTGAGTGTGTGCGACTGCAACGACGGACCGCTCGCAAGGGACCATTGGGTTTGTACTATTAACAACGAAGGCGCTCTCAAAAAAGAAAACCCTCTGCTCTTCCCTCGGCTGTGCTCGTCGCGAGGCTGGTTGCTCGAGGCTGCCATGGCTGCTCCGGCGGGCCACCCAGAAGTGGTCGCATCCCACCCGGAAAAGGTCACTGGCGACTCCGAAGCCGTCGCCGCCGCGAGACGCGGGGACGTCGCTGCGGTGCGGCTGTGGCTGGAGCGCGGCGCGCCAGACACCAGGAGACGGACGCCGTCCCAGTCCGCCGTGGCGACCGTCACGCGAACCTCCGACGCTGCCGCGGCCCAAGGTGCGAGTACCACAGTGATGCCCGAGGAAGCCAGTGGCTCGGCCTCTCCCTGCAGCGAGAGCGTGGTGGACGCGCCGAGCAGCGGCCTCGACATCCCCGTGGAGGTCGCTGCGCTGGCGCGGCGTGGCGGCAACTCCGAGGTGCTGGCGTGGCTCGACGGCGGCGGGCGGGTCAACGCGACCATAGCGGACGGGCCTGTCAGCGGCGTCACGCTGCTCATGCTCGCCTCTGCGCACGGCCGCGATCGGCTGGTGGAGGCGCTGCTTCAGCGCGGCGCGGCGGTCGACCAGCAAAACAGCTTTGGCACCACCGCGCTGATCGCCGCCTCGGAGCGGGGCGGCGAGCGCGTCGTGCACCTGCTCTGTGGCGGCGGAGCTGCGGTCGACGTGCCTGACTCCGTGGGCCGGACCGCGCTGATGCAGGCGGCGGTACACGGGCACGCCGTCGTCGTCGAGGCTCCTCCGCCGGCCCTGCGCACCACCCCTTCTCGGAGCCCTTCTCCGAGGCTTCCTGGAGCGCCCCGTGTAGGCGCTGCTGCGGCACGGCGCGTCGCCCAATCTCGTCGCCCGGAACGGAGCCCATGAACACTCGCGCCTGCCTCTGCTTTGCTGTCTCCTCCCATCCCTCCCTCGGGTTGTCTATAGGTGGGACCGCCCTCCTCTTCGCCTCCGTCAAGGGGCACGAGCGAGTTGTCGAGACGCTCTGCAGGCGCGGCGCGGACGTGCGCGTGCAGGTGCCCGCAGCCAGCGTCGGATGATGGGAGAAAGTTTTCTCGGTGGCGATAGAGCGCCTCTACTCGTGATGCGAGGGCAAGCACACCGACACTCCCTGTAACTCTCCCGCGGGCCCGCTGCCACTAACCCGCACCCTCTCCACGCAGGACTGCCGAGGCGCGAGCGCGCTGATGATCGCCGCGCTCGGGAACCACCCCGCCGTCGTGCGCTGCCTGCTGCGGACGGACGCGCGGCTGCTGCTCGAGCAGGTCAACGGCGGCGGGCTGACGGCGATGGACATGGCGGCGGCTTAATTAATAATTAATAGTTAATCAACAGTGAATTAGTTAATTAATTAGGCGATGGACATGGCGGCGAGCGAGGGGCACCTTGCTTGCGTGGCCGAGATGCAGCGACACTTGGACAGGGGGGGCGAGAGCAGGGCGGGCGAGAGCAGGGGCGGCGAGAGCAGGGCGGGCGGCGAGGCGCTCGACTGGAAGGCGCTCGAGGAGCTGGTGGCGGAGGAGGAGGCGGAGAAGGTGCGGGCGGCGGGCGGCGGGGAGCAGGTCCGGCCGAGCCGGGGGAGGAGGAAGCCGAGGCGGAGGCGCGGCGGCGGGGCGGGCAGGGACGGGGCTGCTGGAGACGGAGGGGCAGCAGCACCCGACGAGCGGGGGGGCGCAGAGGAGGAGGGCGCAGAGGAGGAGGGGGCGGTTGCGGGGGCGGTGGCGGAGGCGGTGGCGGAGGCGGTGGCGGAGGTGGAGGCGGAGGTGGAGGCGGAGGTAGAGGAGGCAATGGGGGCGGAGGCGGAGGCGGTGGAGGCGGTGGAGGAGGCAGGGGCCAAGGGGGCAGGGAGAGAGCTGGAGCCGGCCGAGTGCCGCGGGTCGGGAGAGGCGGCGGCGGCAGGGAGCCAATTGGGCCTCGAGCAGGCGGGGGCGGCCGCAAGCCAGGCGGGAGACGAGGAGGGATGCCCGGGACTAGGCCCGGGACGAGGCGACACGCCGCCTGCCTTGGCCGTCGACACGGCCGCGGTCGACAAGGCTGTGCCTCCCGAGCTGCTCGAGCAGCTCCAGTGTCCGCTGAGCCTCGACTTCATGAAGGACCCGGTGATGGCCGCGAGCGGACAAACCTATGAGCGGGCAGCGATCGAGAAGTGGCTCGCCATGGGCAAGCGCACTGACCCGATGAGCGGCCAGCAGCTCGAGCACACAGACCTCGTGCCGAACGTGCTGGTCCGAAGCCTCTGCCGCACGTTTGCGCTCTCGTGACGTCGTCTCCTCACTCCTGCCCTCTGTCGATATCTCTCTTCTCTCTCATCCAGGAGCCAGACGCGCTCGTGGTGTGCCCGGCCTCAACCGGCAGCTCGCCCATTTTTTTCATTCCTCCGTAGCTCCGTTGAGCGAGAAAAGAAAACACACGTGTAGAGGGGGGGCAGCGAGAGCCGCGGGGCCGGGGGGCGAGGGAGCGAGTCCTAGTGCGTAGTGGGTGTTCTCAAGCGCGCCAGAGCTTGGCACCCTTCACACATCACGAAGCAGGAACCCGTCCTGCGCAAGACACAGATCGCTTCTCTCGCCGCGTACCGCCACCCACCCCCGACCCCGCTGCCGCAGAAACGCACGCGACGCACACCCCCGCAAGCAGCAGAGCTGCGGCAGCTGCGGCCGGCTGTGGCTAGACATACCTCACCAGCATCAGCGTCTCGCTCGTCCGCAGCAGCGCCGCCTACAGGAGAGGGACACTGGCGGTGGGACTCCCGCCCCGCCCCTCTGCGGCACCCCTCGCGGTCGTGCCTCGATCATCGCCGAGCGGCGGGTGGGCGGCGGGGGCGAGGAGGTTGGCTGCTCGCCCGCTTTGCTCTGCTCCGCCTCGAGCATCGTCGCGAGGCGGGCGTGCGTCTGCAGAAGCTGCGCCTCGAGCGCGCGGTAGGCGCGCGGCAGGTCGACGTACCACAGGTAGCAGGTGGTGCGCGGGTTGTGATCCACCGACCGTGGCACCTACCAGTGAGCATCTCGCCCTCAACGGACACAAACTCGTCATGCTCACGCGGTCTGTCTGGCCGACCGGCGGCGCCTCTTGCAGCGACGCGAAGCCCGCGCTCATCAGCGTCCACAACAGCGGCCGCGCCTCCTTCTCCGGCATGAGGCCGAGCTCCGCGAGCTGCTTCAGCTCGAGCCTACGCGGCACACGCAAGCACAACTCCGCTGGTTGGCGCTCGATCGGCGAAGCCAACCCGTCGCCCTCTGCGGCACGCCGGTACACGCGCGGCACGCCGTCTTCTATCTTCTAGGAAGGTTCTAGGAAGGTTCTAGGAAAGTTCACCGGTAGACGCGCGGGACGCCGTCTTCTATCTTCGGGCAGCCGCCGTTTGCGCGGAAGCGGAGGAGCAGCCGGAAGAGGCGGCATGCTGCCTCTCCGCATCGGTTGAGAACGGCCTATCGGCGTGGTCGCGGTTCGGTTCCAGCGGGTTGTGGGAGGGGACCAAGCTTTTCCCCTCTCAGCTGCGTGTGGCGGCTGCATCTGGCGCCCCATCTCAGCTACCACCTCTCGGCTGCATCTCTCGGCTGCATCTCGGCTGCGGCTCGCCGTCTCGAGGGCGAGCTGCCGGATGGCGGCCGTCATCTGGGCGAGGTTGAGCATGTACTTCCCGTTGAGGGGCGACGCCTATAGCCGCGGCCAGCAGCGCAACCTCAGCAGCTCTGTGGCGGAGGGAGGCGGTGGTGCTCGTCGCGAGTGGGAAGTCGCCATCATGCAGAGCGGGTCGTTGCACATCGTGTCGAGGTAGTTTGCGACGAGCTGCCGCCTAAGTAATTCGTTCATTACTAGCTAATTAACTAGTTCATTAATGGGGTAGTTCGCGACGAGCTGCCGCCGGTCCGACTCGAACTCGTGCCCCTCCAGGAGCGGGCCGCACTCCTGCGGGAGAGGGGCGGGAAGGGGGTGGGCAGGAAGAAGGATCGCGGCGGGGAAGTGCGCCCGCCTCTCGCAGCCACTTCTCGCCGCATCTCCGCGGCCCGGCGGCCCGCGCCTGCACCAGCTCCTCGACCGTGAAGGGTGTGGTGCACGGCTTCCCCCGCTCCTCCTGCGAGTGCGGCAGCGGCCACGCCCCGTGCGTCAGATCGGGCGGCTGCCTGCGGACACGTCGCGGACATGTCAGGGACGTGTCACGGACATGCCACGACCTATCCTGGGGGCAGGTCGGCTGCATGGCGAGGACGGCGTCGAGCAGCTGCGCCGCCGTCGCGTCGAACTTCTCGTGCATGAGCTTGCACCTACCGGAGATATGGGGAGAGATGGGGAGAGATGGGGAGATAGCGTCGAAGAGCATGAGCTTGCACCTACCGAAGCGCAGGCAGACCGCAACGCACCCCTCTCCACACACCTCCCTCCCTGCCCCCACACCCTGCGCCGGCGGGGGACGCGCACATGGCATCGGCACGGAAGATTTGTCGCATCTCCGGCATGTTGACGCGCCAGAGCCGCTTCGCCTCCCTCGCCAGCAGGCCCGTCTCGCCCGCCCCGGCCCCTCTCCCGCCCGCCGGCCCGCCCTCCCGCTTCCGCTTTCCGCGCGCTGCCCCCGCGGAAGCCGGCAGAGGGAGCGGCGGCTCGCCGCAGTCTTCCTCGAGCTGGTCCGCCGCCGCGAGGTAGCGCGCCTCGAGCAGCCGCGTCACCTCCGCCTTGAGCGCCTCGCGCCGCGCCCCTCCCTCCGGCGCGAGCCGCCGCGAGAGCGAGTCGAGGGTGCACCGGCCGAGAGCAAGCACCTACGGAGATGTGGGGAGACATGGGGAGACATGGGGAGATATGGGGAGTCGAGGGTGCACCGGCCGACAGCAAGCACCTCGACGAGGAGAGCGGCGGCGTCGTCGCCGATCCTGCGCCGGGTGGCGCACACCACCCACGGGTACCACCGACGCGCGAGCACCTCGTCGAGCGACGCGTGGTACACTGGCCGCTTGCCAGCTGCCGAGACGGATCCGGCTGCGCCGCCGTTTCCCGCCGCCGGCCTCGCAGCCGCCGCCCGCCCCCGCTGAGCGGGCGCGGCGGGCGGCGGCGCGGCGGGAGCGGCGACAGAGGCGATGTTGTGCTGGAAGAGCACGAGCAACGAAGCGCGGATCTGCGTGGCGGTCAGTGTCGACCCAGTCGACTCGAGCCCGCTCGCCAATTGGATCAGTGTGCACGGACCGTGCTCAAGCAGGTGTACGCCGACCGTCTCGACGAGCTCGCCCAGGTCGGAGCGCAGGATCTGGCCGGCCACCTTGAGGGAGAGAGAGCTGCCGCTGCCGCTGCTCTCCATCGAAAACTCCCTCGCACAACACTGGGCACGGGACTGGCGCGCACTGGCACTAACACAGGCGAAAAGAACATCCCGCGCTCTGCCATCACGACCCGCGCCGCATCGAAGAGAGAGTGGACCTGAGCAACGATATGACTTGGCGGCAAATGATTGGAGTGGGAGTCAGAAATGTGGTCCTTGCGCGAGGGGAGCTCGATAGACTTGAGGGGCCAGGATCTGAGGGAGGGTGTAGAGGATGTAGAGTGTAGAGCGCTGTAGAGCTGTAGAGATGTAGAGCGCTCTGGAGCGCTGTAGAGCTGTAGAGCTCTACATCCGCCGCGTGACGAGGCGCCTGCGTTGTAGAGCGATGTAGAGCGCGATTTTGTTGTAGAGTTTGTTGTAGAGGCTCTACAGCCAAACCGCCGGGAAGGCAGTGACTCAAAGAGGTCGAGCCGCGCTAATGGGGTTTTACCGAGCTTAGTGAAGCTCTGATGGACAGCCCTGACTATCCCTGACACACAGAGAGTCCCTCTGACGGCACACAACACCCTATAACTGCGTCATGACCAGCCTGCCATGTGTCGCCGGTGCCGCATTCGTCGCTGTGCTTCTTTAGCAGGCGGTGGACTGTCGGCTGCGAGGACGGTCGCATTTGCGCGAGGCGAGGCGAGCATTCAGACGCCTTATCTGCGCCATGACTCGCG